GCGGGAAACGTATCCTCATCAAAGTAAACATACCGAGAAATAATAATTTTGTTTGTTTTTAAATCAAGGCATCGATACACTTTTTGTTGAGATGGATACCAAAGGAACAGACAAGGCGTTGTCCTCGGTGATAGTTTTGACAGATTTGAATGATTCAAGCTTGGAAAACATAAGCACCCAAAAACTCGAAGGTGATCACAGGTTGGATTTTTATGAAAGAGGAGGCTATGAGGAATTTGATTTTGGATAGCTGTGGAGGGAAGGATTTTTAGGATATGAACAACAACATTTAGTGCCTCAACCCAATAACAAGGAGATAGACGAGCTTGAAATAGGAGAGCTCGAATAACATTGTTATTAGTTCTAATCATCCTTTCAGAATTTCCCATTTGGTTGGGAGGTATGTGGGCTTGAGAAACGAACCTTGATTCCAGTTTTATCAAAAAATTCATGGAATTGGTTGTTATTGTATTCTCAGCCATTGTCACGTTGAAAAGATTGAATTTGACCGTCGAATTGAGTTTTGTTTCCAAGACAGGAGCTTCGTGTAGTTGCAAAAACCTGTCAACAAAACGTGAAGCTCTCCAATGCTCAGTGTCAAGAGATGTATCAAGATACTCAAGCTTTGGCACTTGCTTCCAGAGATAACGCCTTCGCTTCGATAAAATATTAGTGGATACAACATCTTTGGTTGGAAGGGAAGAGTTCGTTCACGCTCTAAGAAGCGCTCCAGTAGTACCCCTCCAAGGCTTATCACCTCTCAGAATTGCGTGAAAGGGAAGAATATTGAGATTGTTCCTTCTACTGTTTTGGTTGAGGCAGGACAGTCCTATGCCAAGGGCTCTGCTTGGGTCAAGAAGTCGACTACAGGTGTTGCTAGAAGTCCTGTCAAGCCACCTGAGTCCCATCTTCCTGAATCAGTTTTGGTGTCAGCTATCCCGTTGGAGGATTCCTTTCCTTATCCACCGGGTTGGGGTGCTATGTCTTCAAAATCCAGGAAGAGATGGCGTCATAAGTGGAATATCAGCAGAAGCAGCGCTGCTGACCATATTTCTAAGGTCTCAGGGTCCCCACGAGCTTTGGTCTCGGGTGGATCGTCCTGTGCTTGAAAGCTTAGCTTTCCCCTTCCCCTTTTGTGTTAATAATGAAGGTTTTTTGCTGGAATGTAAGAGGCTTGAATAGCCATTCCCGTCAACGCGCTGTTAGACAGTAGGTTAATAAAAATAATTTGTTGGTTGGAAGTTTTTTGGAAACGCATGTAGCTGAGAGTAATGCCCCTGCTATTTTGGATTCAACCCTTACGAGTTGGAGATTAGATACCAATTATTGTTGTTCCGAGTTGGGTCGGATTTGGATCGTGTGGGACCCTTCGGTTTCGGTTTTGGTCTTTAAGAAGATGGATCAATTGATGGTTTGTAGTGTTAAGCTGCCGGGTCTTGCTACATCTTTTGCGGTAGCGTTTGTTTATGGTAGAAACACTGAGATTTAGAGACGAACCCTTTAGGAAGACATCTCTACTTTATCACCGTCCTCTCCTCTTTGCTTCACTCCTTAGATCCTGGTTGGGGACTTTAACCAGATAGCTGCTACTTCTGATCACTATTCTGTCCTTCAAACTTCAATCCCCATGAGAGGTTTAGAGGAGTTTCAGAACTGTTTAAGAGATAGTGATTTGGTGGATATTCCTAGTCGTGGGGTCCATTACACTTGGTCAAATCATCAAGATGATAATCCGATCATAAGGAAGTTGGATAGGGCTATTGCCAATGGAGATTGGTTCTCTTCTTTTCCTAGTGCGATTGCTGTCTTTGAGCTGTCAGGGGTTTCAGATCACTCTCCTTGTATTATTATCCTGAAAAACCTCCCAAAGAGATCTAAGAAATGTTTCAGATATTTCTCCTTCCTTTCAACTCATCCTACCTTTTTGGTGTCCCTTACTGTTGCTTGGGAGGAGCAGATTCCTGTTGGTTCTCACATGTTTTCTTTAGGGGAACATTTAAAAGCTGCCAAGAAGTGTTGTAAGCTTTTGAACAGGCAAGGGTTTGGCAATATCCAGCATAAAACCAAAGAGGCTCTGGATTCTTTGGAATCGATTCAGTCTCAGCTATTAACCAACCCTTCTGATTCTCTTTTTAGAGTTGAGCATGTTGCCAGGAAAAAGTGGAACTTCTTTGCTGCTGCTCTAGAGTCTTTTTACAGACAGAAATCAAGAATTAAATGGTTGCAAGATGGCGACGCTAATACACGGTTCTTCCATAAAGTCATTCTTGCAAATCAGGCTAAAAATCTGATCAAGTTTCTTCGCATGGATGATGATGTAAAAGTGGAGAATGTTACTCAGGTCAAAGAAATGATTGTAGCCTATTATACCCACCTTTTGGGCTTTGACAGCGACATTCTCACTCCCGATTCGGTTCAGAGAATCAAAGATATCCATCCTTTTCGCTGTAATGATACACTGGCGTCTCGTCTCTCTGCTCTCCCGTCTGATGAGGAGATAACTGCTGCGGTCTTTGCAATGCCTCGCAACAAGGCTCCGGGTCCTGACAGCTTCACTGCGGAATTCTTTTGGGAATCTTGGTATGTGGTCAAGGATAGTACTATTGCTGCTGTTAAAGAATTTTTCAGAACTGGTCATCTCCTCAAGAGGTTCAACGCTACAGCAATCACTCTCATTCCTAAAGTTACAGGAGTAGATCAACTCTCTATGTTTAGACCTGTTTCGTGCTGCACCGTAGTCTATAAAATCATTACTGATAACACTAGATTTTAACCTTTTTAAGCCCTTGTTTTTCATGCATTTAGTTTAGTTTCAAGTCTCTTTTTATGCATTCTTAGTCTCTTTTCCTTCTTTTGCACATTTTGCATTGCATTGCATAGCATACTTGCATTTGGAGTGTTTTGCAGATGAATTAGGTACTTTTGGACTCAACTTGGAGGTTTCTAGCACAAGGGATGGACAAACTCGAGTTCGGGGGACCTAAGGAAGGATTTGAAGTATACTCGGCCTATGTACTCGGCTGGAGGCCGAGTGGAGCACACGTAAAGAACAAGGAGCCTACTCGACCAAGGCACTCGGCTGGAGGCCGAGTTGTGCACTTAAGGATGAAGAGAAGCCACTCGACCAAGCCACTCGGCCTAGGGCCGAGCTGTGTGACCAAGACCAAGCCACTCGGCTTTTCTACTCGGCCTAGGGCCGAGCGCTCCTGCGCCGACTTATCTATTTTGTCTTATTCCCAATTAGGGCAACCTAGGATTGCCTATAAATAGACCTCTTATGTTTTTGCCCAAAATATCTGAGCTTTTCCGCTGGATATTAGGGTTCTTTGATTTTCTTTTACATTTTCTGGTTGTTGTGTTGAGAATTTGGATTTGATTTCTTCTGCAAACTTGTTTATCTCATTGAGATCTATCTTTTGCTAAGTTTATAATGATTTCTGGGTTTTATGAATTTTCTGGGTTTTGTTCTATGATGTTCTTCAGTGTTCTTGAGTAGTGTTCTTCAGAGTTCTTGAGGATGGGTTAGGTTTAGGTGGATTCCTCTCTTCTTTAGCTAGCTAAGTGTTTATATGCATGATTCCCTTCTGTTTTAGGAGTTCTTAATGCTATTTTCTTTCTGATCAATTGAAAATTGATTTCAGACTTTCTCCATCCAAAAGGTGTTTGATGAAATGTCTGAACCAACTAATTTCAGAGATTTGTAGATTCTAGCCCAAGGCATTGGATGTTTAGACTGCTTATTGACTTTAATAGATTGGTGTTTAAAGCCTGCTTTATTATGTTTCATCAATGGAAATTGAGATTAGGAAGTTCTAAAGTTATGAGAATCATTCACACGGAAGTGGCTTGATTTGGTTTTGAATCTATTGTCTAGGGATAGCTAATGGATTGAGGAGTCCACTAAGACCAATTACCCCATTCTTAAGAGCTCTGTTTAGTTTATTCGTGCAAAACTCGTGTTTTTAGTACTCTGTTCGTTTCGTGCAAAATTGGTGTTTTTAGTATTGTACTCGACCTTCTTACTCGTTTGCTCGACCGAGTGCTTTACCTAGTGCTTGGTTTACTTTCTGTTCTTGTCATTTGAGTCCTTTATCTTCTGCTTAGTATAGTTTTATTCCTTAATTTGATTTGCATGTTAACTTGTTGCTTAGGTTTAGTAGAAACACATCAAACCTATTCACACTTGGCTTGACTTAGTATTCTCTGATCATATCCTGATTGATAGCAATTACACCCATTTGGATTGACACCTTAAATGATGCAATGACATAAGATGCATTTAGGGAATTGACACACCGAAAACACTTGTATCAATTTGGCACCGTTGCCATTTGGTTGTTTTTCTTGTTACATTTAGGATTTCTGAGTTATTAAGATCAAGTTCTATTTCTTTCTTTCTGGTTACTCACTTGTTTCTTCATTTGCTTGTTTTTGTCTTGCAGGTACTCCTACTCGACTAGCACGTCGAGTACATCAACCGAGTAAGATCAAAACGTATGCAAACTCGTTCTCAAGGTTCTGGTAATCTCCTGCAGTACAGAGACGACATCGACAGGATTCAGCGTGAACTCAGGGAACAACAAGCCACTTCAAACCCAGTAGTGATGGCTAATGAGGTGAATGCTAATGAGTTGCCAGGCAACATTGGTGCTGGTGATGCACCTAGAAACCACCATCAGAGAGCTGGTATTGTCCCACCTCCTATTCAGAACAACAACTTTGAGATCAAGAGTGGTCTTATCTCCATGATTCAAAGCAATAAGTTTCATGGACTGCCAATGGAGGACCCATTGGACCATCTTGATAACTTTGATAGATTCTGTAGTCTCACCAAGATCAATGGAGTTAGTGAAGACAGCTTCAAGCTCAGGTTATTCCCTTTCTCACTAGGAGATAAAGCTCATCTTTGGGAAAAGACTTTGCTCGTTGATTCTGTAGACACTTGGGATGACTGCAAGAAGGCTTTCTTAGCCAAGTTCTTCTCTAACTCAAGAACGGCTAGATTGAGGAATGAGATCTCGGGATTCAATCAGAAGAATTCGGAATCATTCGCTGAGGCATGAGAGCGTTTTAAAGGATATAGCACTCAGTGCCCGCACCACGGATTCAAGAAGGCCTCCCTACTCAGTACTCTATACTGAGCTGCGGACAGTGGGATTCAAGAAGGGGAGGTTTTGAGACCAAGATCAAGACAGGAGATTGAACTCGACTTCTTTGCTTGGCTTGTCGAACGAGCATATGACCCGAGCAACCCAATCCCTATTCCACCTGCCTATGAACCTAAACCATACTTTCCAGAAAGGATTGCACAAGTTAATGCAAGGATCTTCCAGAAACACAAGATGATGTTCATAAAGTGTATCAAAGAGTTAGAAGAGAAGATACCTTTGGTTGATACTCCCAAGGAAGTAATCATGGAAAGACCCCAAGAAGCTCAGCAAATAGTTGAATTGAGTTTTGAGTGCAGCGCTATCATTCAAAGGAAGGTGATACCAAAGAAGCTAGGTGATCCAGGTTCCTTTACTCTACCTTGTTCACTAGGACCCTTAGTGTTCAACAATAGTCTTTGTGATTTGGGAGCTTCAGTTAGTTTGATGCCTTTGTCTGTTGCAAAGAGATTGGGATTTGATAAGTTCAAGCCTAGCAGCATTCATCTTATTCTAGCTAATAGATTAGTGAGAGTGCCTCATGGGATGCTAGAAGACTTACCGGTAAAGATCGGTTCGATTGAGATTCCAACCGACTTTGTGGTTCTAGAGATGGATGAGGAACCGAAAGACCCTCTCATTCTTGGGAGACCATTTTTAGCAACTGCGGGCGCTCTTATCGATGTGCAAATGGGTAAGATCAACTTGAACCTTGGTAAGAATCTCCATATGAGCTTTGAAATTGCTAAGAAGATGAAGAAGCCCACTATAGAAGGGCAGCTTTTCTTCATTGAAGAAGGAAATTTAGATGCTGAGTTGTTGAGTGGGTTGGAAAATCCTATTCCGTACTCCATTCCGACTCACCACCTAGGAGAGCCCGAGGAGCTTCTTATGATAGAAGGAGGACCTAGCTTAGAGGTTGAGACTAAAGGGAACCATTTTGATGTTGGTCCTATTGCTAGAGAGCTTATGAAGCTCAGAAAACAGTATGGAGCTCAAGGAGAGACGGAGCTCAAGGAGAGACCATGGAAAAGTTGGACCTCAAGATGGAGGAGCTGAACTACGCTATCCTGGAGCTTAAGGAGATGATTAAAGGTTACCCAGGTCCTGAGATTGATGAATACTTCGAGGAACCCGATCTTGGAAAAGAGGACTATAGTACTGATGAGAAGGAGGCTTACTTTGAGGAAAGATCAAATGAGTACTCCACACTCCAGCTATCAAGAGAAAATGCGGAGTATGATTCAGACTTTGAGGATTCAGCAAGTGAGGATGAGGACTTCTCAGTTCCTCTCCTCAATCTCTTCTCTACCTAAACATTGTGAGAGTCAAGCTTAGTGACTTTAAACAAGCTCACTTGGGAGGAAGTCCCATGTCTATCCTTGTATATATTGCTTTCTTGTTATTTTTGATGTTTTTGTTTAAGTGTTTCAGGGAAAAAGACTTCTGGAGAATTTCAAGTCACACTCGACCGTACTACTCGGCTGTAGGCCGAGTGTGGGATTCAATCGACAAAAGGCCCAAGATTGAATAGTACTCAGACCACACCACTCGGCCCAAGGTCGAGTATGGGCCTCACTGTTCAAAGGCCCAACAAGATGCAGCACTCGGCCCGAAGCCGAGTCAGAAAAAGAAGCCTATCAGGCCCAACACTGTACTCGACACGCGCGTCGAGTATGTCGGCCGAGTTCACACGTGCGAGGTTAACACAATTCAAATTCGAATTTGAATTCGAATTTGCTCGGCCCCACCAATCAAATCCTGCTCCCCAAAGCCCTTCAAAGATTCTTCTGCAAATAGTGAGACATGTCCCCTTGACCAAATGAAGGGTGCGGATCTATGGTGTTTGGAGGGCTAGGATCAAATCTTCTTGTCTATAAAACCACACTCAACAAGCTAAGTCACTCACACTTTCTCTTTGCTCAAAAATTTCGAATTTTACTCCTTCTCTCCAAACATTTCAAGTTCTTACTCTCACTTCTCTAGATTTCTCAGAAATTTTACCAAAATCTCTTGTTACAAACCTTTTCAAAACCTCTCTTGCAACCTTTGTTCATTCTTAAACATCAATTTCTCTTCTACTTTGACCTACCTTTGGTTATTTTGTGGTGACTACCTGCAGTAAATCATCCCAAGATCATGAATCCCGAGGAATCAAGAAGGAGAGCCTCTGCTCGAGCCGTGGCAAGAGGGTTTGAGATGATTAATGAGAAGAATCAGTCAAAGAATCAGGAAGCTGCGAGTCCTGGTTTTACTCGGATGACAGGCCGAGTACAATGGCCGAGTATGGCCCCGGAGTCCTCTATGGGTCGTTTTGCGGCTGCTCAAGAGAAAATAGCAAGAGGCAAGAGGGTCTGGGAGTCCGAGCCAGTTGCAGAAGAAGAAGTGCCTGAGATAGAGAAGGAAGCATCTGAGGAAGATGCGCAAGTTGATGAAGAGGTCCCGATAGTTCCTACAAGGAGAAGAAGGAACACCATGAGGAGAAAGAAAGAACCTACCATTGAAGAGCACTACCAATATCTCATGGAGCTGAGTTTTGAGGGGACAAGATATCCCCATAGACCTACCATGCAAGCTTTGGGGATATGTAGGGATGTTGACTACCTCATGGAGATGGCCAAGCTGGAGACCTTTTTCTCCTACAAGTGTGAAGGGTACAAAACTGAGAGCTGCCAATTCCTAGCCACTTTGAAGCTTCATTTCTATGCTGAAAAAAGGGAGAGAGAGCTGCATAAGGGAGTTGGCTATATCACATTCATGGTGTTTGGAATTCAATACTCGGTTCCCATTAGGCAGTTGGATGTTGTTTTCAAGTTCCCCACCAAGTATGGAATCCGCCAAAACTTTAGCAAGGACGAGCTCCTTGATCTATGGTTGACAATCGCCGGTCCACTCCCCTACAAGTCATCTAGGGCCAAGAGTTCGTTGATAAGGAGCCCGGTGCTTAGGTATCTCCACCTTTGCATTGCAAGTGCTTTCTTCCCGAAGAAGACAACCGGCCATGTTAATGAGGGAGAGCTGAAGTTGCTTGATCTCACCTTATGCTTCATTTTGGGGCGCACAAGGAATGGGATAGAGATGGAAGGGGATAGGGCTGATACATCCCTTTCGGTGGTGTTGATTGATCACTTGATTGGTTTTAGGGAGTATGCAGCCGGAATCCACCAATCCGGCTATGGAGGAAGCTTATGTGCTGGAGGAGTGATCACGCCCATCCTAATAGCCGTTGGAGTTCCTCTTCATACCCCAACTCACACAGCAACCTACATCGATATGGAGTATTTGAAGAGGAAGTGCTACTTGGATAGGTCTGCTCCAGCGGATCAACTCTATTTCAAGTTCAAGCACTCCACGCTAGGGCTCTCTAGGCTAGCACTCCCTTGCAAGAAGTTCACCACCATTAGGATTGGGAACAACATTGACTTTGATCCTCCTCAATCGATCTTAGTCAATGTCCTTGCGCCCCTACAAGCAGAGCCGAGCATAGGGAGTGAGTCTCAAGAAGAAGGAGCAGAGTGGAATGAAGAAGAAGCTGAGCAGGAAGCCTATACTCGGCCGAGTAACTTTCAGCAGGCCGAGTATGGCCAGGCCGAGTTTGAACAAGCTGAGTTCAGTCAAGCTGAACAGTTTGATGAACAAGAAGATTCGTGCGAAGCTGCAGCGGAGCAGTTTTTCTTTGAGGATTATGCTGAGTCTGATCAAGAGAGAGATCCCGGTCAAGTTCACAAGAAGTTGGGAATGCTCAAAGGTTTGGGCAAGTTTCAGAGGAAGTTGTTCAGTGGGTTGAAGAAGAAGGTGAGAAAGATGAAGAGAGCAATGGACGGCATGACGGTTCAGATTCAGGAGCTGCAACGAAGACAGAGATCACCACCACCTCGACCCGAGTTCAGGAGAAGTAACTCAATGAGTGTGGCACCGCGAAGGGACGCTCATTTCGACCCGCCAAGAGCCTCAAACTACGAGCTCGGGAGGAGCTCCACCTTCTCAGATCGCCGTTTCAACAGCCGCCCACCCGGTCCAGTGAACCAGTTGGTTCTGAACGCTGACCCAAGCCGAGAGGAGTACTACTCGGGCTACATGCTCGATGGGTCAACCGAGTACAACCCCAACAACCCCAACACCTCCACACGTGATCCTGAGTACACACAAGACCGCCTGGACGAGTTTGTCCAGAACCTCTTCGTTTAAATGTTGAGGTATCACTCCATTTCACTGTATATATCATTGCATTTCTTTTATTTCTTGCTTTGTGTGGTTATTTCTCTTGAATTCTTCTTTGAATTTTTATTGCACAAGGGACTGTGTAATTTAAGTTAGGGGGAGGGTTCAAGATGTATCTAACATTGTTTCATGTTTTCTTATTCAAATTTTGCATCATCTAAGGCATAGAAAACCTATTTGCATTAATAGGGCTGTTTTTAGAATGTTATCATATAGGTTGTTGCATTTTGCACTTGCATAGGGAATAATGATGATCATAGCCTTGTAAATTTGCAATGTTCACTAGATAGTTTCAATGCCCTTGTTGTTAGTTGTCTAGTGCTTAACCGATTGATCTTGAAGTAAAACCGCACCATCTTTTGAATTCATATATTTGATCTTTCCTTAGTCGAAACTGGCTGTGATTTGAAGCTATTCCCTATTAATTTGAACCATAATTTGACTTTTAATTATCATACTATGCATTGTTTGTTAAACTCATGGTCACCCTTAAAATATTTGGATCTTCTTATTCGTTTCACCACTCTTGTTGATCCAAATAGCTGTCTCTCACCTTAAGAGCAGTTTCCCCATACGCTAACCTAAGCCTTCTTTCAAGCCATATATCACTTGTGAGTGTTTGTGAGGTCTATTTTCGATTAAGGTTGGTAGAAAGTGTTAGGTTTGTAACGACAAAGATAGTATCTCATGTAGTTCTAGTTCGCGTTATCCGGACTAGATAGGACTAGGTGGGTACTTG